GGCTGCAGGAGCCTGCCTGGTGCGAGAATTGGGGAGAACGCAAAGTCAGTGACTGCTGAATAGTTCTGAGGAAGCTCGCGTTTGACATTTGTGCGTTATCTAGCAGTGTGGCGGCAGATACTATCTTGGCAGGGGTACAGTTCTTCTTATGTCTTTGCCTGCAGAGTTCCACGTTCGAATTGGTTGGTGGCAGCTTGAAATGTATTCAGCAAGCGTCACTTCATAAAGTCGGAAGCCAAGCTCGGATTGATTCAGAGGATCAAAGCCCCGCAGACCCACGGCGAACCCGCTGTCTCTCTGGCCATGCCGCCCTTCACCGTTGAGCAGGTGAGAGGCGTCATGGACAACACGGAGAGGATCCGGTCTCTGAGCATCATCGCCCACGTGGACCACGGCAAGACCACGCTGGCGGACTCCCTGGTCTCCCGGGCCGGCATCATCAGTGCCAAGGCAGCCGGCGAGAGGCGATTCACACACGGCCGCAAGGATGAGGAGGAGCGTGGCGTGACCATCAAGAGCACGGGGGTCACCCTGCCTTTCGACTATGATGCGGGCGACGGAGCTGTGCCATACCTGGTGAACCTCATCGACTCCCCGGGCCACGTGGACTTCTCCTCCGAGGTCACTGCTGCCTTGCGCATCACCGACGGCGCTGTAGTGGTGGTGGACTGCATCGAGGGCTGTGCGGTGCAGACCGAGACAGTGCTAAGGCAAGCCTTGCAGGAGAGGGTCAAGCCTTGCCTCTTTGTGAACAAGGTTGATCGCTGCATCTTGGAGATGCAGATGGAACCGGAGGACATGTACCTGCGCTTCCGGAATGCTGTAGAGAATGTGAACGTCATCATTGCCACCTACAACGACGCCTCCATGGGCGACTTGCAGGTGCGCCCGGAGGCCGGGAACGTGGCATTCGGCAGCGGTTTGCATGGCTGGGGCTTCACCTTGGAGCACTTCGCGGGGCTTTTGGCAGCCAAGGCGGGTGTAGAGAAGGCGCGGATGATGGACAAGCTCTGGGGTGACTGGTTCTTCCATGCCAAGCGCAAGGTTTGGACCAACCAGCAGCAGCCAGAGGATTGTGCGGAGCCGTTGCAACGGGGCTTCTGCCAGTACATCATGACGCCCATTTGCCAGTTGATCCAGGCCATCATGGAGAAGGATTCGAAGTATGAGAAGATGATGGATCGCCTTGGCATCGTCTTGAAGGGCGAGGACCGGGAGCTCACAGGGAAGGCGCTCATGAAGCACGTCATGCAGAACTGGCTCAGCTGCGGGGAGTCACTGCTCTCCATGGTGGTCACCAAGCTGCCTTCGCCCAAGGTGGCACAGCGCTACCGAGTGGAGAACTTGTACGACGGGCCCATGGACGACCAGGCGGCCTTGGCCATTCGCTCCTGCGACCCTGCAGGGCCTCTGATGATGTACATCTCCAAGATGGTGCCAGCCCCGGACAGGAGCCGCTTCTACGCCTTCGGCCGAGTCTTTTCAGGGACGGTCAGCACCGGGCAGAGGGTGCGCATCCAGGGCCCCCACTACCGGCCTGGCACCAAGGATGACCTCCACGTGAAGGCCATCCAACGCACCGTGCTGATGATGGGCCGTGGGACGGAACCCATCCAGGACGTGCCTTGCGGTAACACAGTGGCATTGGTGGGCGTGGACCAGTACATACTCAAGTCCGGCACCATCACCACCTTGGAGGATGCCCACAACTTCACGGACATGAAGTACAGCGTCTCGCCAGTGGTGAAGGTGGCAGTGAAGCCGAAGGACGGCAAGGACTTGCCCAAGCTGGTGGAGGGTCTGAAGAAGCTCTCGAAGTCTGACCAGTTGGTGGTCTGCAGCACTGAGGAGAGCGGCGAGCACGTCATCGCCGGCTGCGGCGAGTTGCATGTGGAGATCTGTCTGAAGGACCTGAGGGAGGAATTCGCACAGTGCGACTTCACCGTGTCCGACCCGGTGGTGTCTTACCGTGAGACGGTGACGCAGCAGTCCAGCCAGACCTGCTTGGCCAAGTCGGCGAACAAGCACAACAGGTTGTACTTCACAGCAGAGCCGCTGCAGGAAGAGCTGGCGCAGGCTTTGGAAGATGGCACTTTGGGCCCCAAGGTGGACCCAAAAGCCGGCGCCAAGATTCTGACCGAGAAGTTCGGCTGGGACAAGCAGCAGGCCCAAAGCAAGATCTGGTGCTATGGGCCCGAAGGGGACGGGCCCAACATGGTGGTGGACTGCACCGTGGGAGCCCAGTACCTGAACGACATCCGGGACTCGGTGACGAGCGCCTTCCAGTGGACCAGCAAGGAGGGCGTCTTGTGCGAGGAGAACCTGCGGTCCGTGCGCTTTAACCTCACAGAGGTGATGCTGCATCCGGACAAGGTGCACCGGGGCGCCGGTCAGATCTCGCCGGCCTTGCGGCGCTGCTGCTTTGCCTCCGAGCTCACAGCCAAGCCGACCCTGCAGGAGCCGGTCTTCTTGGTGGAGATCTCATGCCCCAAAGATGCCCTGAGCGGAGTCTACAGCTGCCTGAACCTGCGCAGAGGATGCGTCTTCGAGGAGAACCAGCGCGAGGGCACGCCGATGGTTCAGGTCAAGGCGCATCTGCCGGTGGCGGAGTCCTTTGGCTTCGTGGCCTCTTTGCGGCAAGCTACCAGCGGCCAGGCCTTCCCCCAGTGCGTCTTCGACCACTGGGAGAGTCTGCCTGGCAACTGCCTGGAGAAGGGCAGCAAGATGGAGGAGCTGGTCCTAAGCATCCGCAAGCGCAAGGATTTGAAGGTCCAGATGCCAGTTCTGGGTGACTACCTGGACAAGCTTTGAGCCTTCCCACAGGGGGTGTCCCAAAACGCCGGAGTGCGGATTCTTCTTCCGAGCCGGGAGCCGTGCTCCCGTCTCCGTTTCCAGGCCATGAATTCACCTGCGGACGTATACAGATCATGGAAGCTTCGCAGCTAGCTTCAGGCGTTGTACAGATCTGAGGTCGCCGTTGCGCTATGCAACAACCCCTGATGGATGTGCGAAAAGACATGGCGTGTGTTGGATGTGAGAGTGCAACAGCGATTGACATAGTGTTGACCCCATACCACTCAACCCCAGCTGATTAACAGGGGGGTGTTTCCCTCGGAAAGTGATGTTTCCCCGCTATTAACAAACTGGGGTTGTTTAATATGGGGTCAACACTAGTGTCTCAGTGTTTGTAGCCATCGCCTTTTCCGCCGCGCGGCGGAAGCACTCCAAGCACAAAATTCCGAGACATCCTGGAATTGCTATGTTGCTATGATTCGCCCAGATCAGTTCCCAGGTTTTTTGTAGCATAAGCCCCTGGAGTTGCACCCTGGAGTTGCACCGGGATCGATGGGCGAACTCGCCACTTCTCAGTGGGCGAAGTCCCAGACCCCAGGTCTGGCTACGTGGTGGTGATCGATGCTGGCAGCACTGGGTCGCGAATCCATGTTGCGCGCTTAGCCCGCGCAGGAAGTCGCTGACTATCCAGTGTGAAGCAGATTATGCACGGTACGATTATGTATAGTGTGGTGCCATTGCGGCCGCTCTCCAAAGAAACCGAGCAGCCCTAGTTTAGCTCCCCCCAGTTGGTGATGTGCATTGGTTTGTAGGTTAGGGCTAGCTTCCTGTTTGGTTTCAAGCCGAACCGGGTTCAAATCCCCCCAGTATTAGTCCACCAGTTGCCCGGGTCCAAGTACCTAAGGACACATATGAAGAAGCCAAACCGGGCTCAAAGTACATCACAAGTTTCTTGGACCCAAGAGCGATGTCCGTAGCTTCAGGTCTTCAATTACGAGTACCGCACCCTGGAGACACGCAGGTTCCCACTGATTGTGAGCCCTCCGCTGACGTTGCCGTCAGGTGCGGGTGACTGGGTGACTGCCATGGTGCCGGATTTTCGGGCTGTGAATTTTGATGGACAGCAACAGCTGGCTGGTGCGATAGGTAGATGTGGCAAACCCAGGCTTTGGTCCCCTCAAAGGAAGCCACCAGTGGGATTGTTTGTTCTTTTTCATTCCATTTCATTTCTCATTCCCTGCATCTCTGGCACCAAGAAACCGTTTGGTGACTGGGTTTGGTCATATTATGACGCTCTGCAGAAATCGCGGTGGCCAGCAGCCGCCCGGGGTTGTCCTCCTTCTTGCACCACCTCGACAGCATCCCCAGGCCGAAGGGCGAAGGGCAGCCGACGGGTTGGACGGCTCTCGCGTTTCTGGTTTGGGGGTTTCCCACGGAACTTTCCTGAAGTAATTGCTAAACTAAACTAGTGGTTGCGTGGCAACCACTTCAGACTGATTTTCCACAAAACGATCCGTGCGATTGCTGGTGGCTCAGCTGCTGTGAAGCTGTGGAAGCACGGTTGTATTCTTTAATATAGCAGGACATGTGCTTTGTTTGAAGAGGAGTCATACGTCCCTCAATACTGATTTGACTTGGTCACCTTGTCGTGCCGATGCTACTCAGCAGATTGCGATGTGGAAACCTGCAGCATGAACCATGTCTTGCCAGATTTAGCAGTCGTCAGCTGGCTGCAGGCACTTGGAAGAGTTGCTGAAGCATGCAGCAGACGTTCCTTGACTGCAGGGAGCCTGCAGGGCCAGCCCTCGTGCACTTTTTCTGGGCTATCCTGACTCAAACAACCTTCCTTGCGATCTCAACACTCCCGGAATTGTCCAAGATAGGGACTTCTTTTTACATGGTCAAGCGCCAATGCACAGAGTCCCTTGCAGTCGGATGGTTCCTCTCAGGCCTTGCTCTTGCACAATCCCCACGTGGACCTGAAGCTGGTGCGGTCCAGCTCTTTTCCTGGGGATGAGAAGATTTGAGCGGAGTCACAGCAACCGTTTGAAGGGTGACCCACAAAATGCACCAAGCCCTGTCAGCAAAAGGAACAGCAGACTCAAGCACAGTGCATAGTCTCCTTTCCCCATAGAGGAAACAAGCAGGACTCGTGAGCATGACTCCAATGACCAATTCCACGTGAGAGCGGAATGCCATTTTCGGGCAAAGTGGCTGAAGCAACATTCAATTAGCACTTGTGTGTATCCTTAAGCCCAAATTGGCGGCTTTCACTTTGGGGGCCCTTCAATACAACACGTAAAGGAGTACCAACTTCAAGAGAAAAAACACCTCCACGTGTTGAAAGCGATATTTGACGTCTAAGCCAAGCAATGAGGGCCAGGTACGAGGTACCTTATTAGGATCCCCAACGCACTGCCAGGACATGTCAATGCTTGTCCTGGTAGTGCTACTGTTGATTCCCCACATATGGCAGGCAAGTACATCAAGCATGAACCATGATAGATCTCGAGCGTCTCCCGTGGCGCTGGGGTCATTCTGATACTTGTTTCCGGCAGTTACTGTATCTTAAAATCAGCATTCCTTGTTTCCCTTCAACCACGTGGTGACTGTGAGAATCATAAACCCACTATTCCCCCCAAGAATCATCCCCCAAATTCAGGAAGTCCACTGAGAAGAAGGATGGGTCCCCAACAATCCCCAACCCTTTTTAGTTCTTTTTCGGTTCTTTTTGAGTTCTTTTTCCGATCCCAAAGGGAGCCAGCCGCCGTTTTTTTCGCCGCGTCAAGCGTCAGGTGCCCCTTTACCTGGGCGCCACCGCTGGGCTGCGGGAGATCTCCTCGGAAGACCGGGACGCGGCAGGGAGCTCAGGTGAGCTCCAGAGACGAGACGAGTGGCTCCAAAGCGTAATTTCGCTGTCAAGCAAGCAAAGGGCCTATACGGACCCCCACAGGCAAAGCATGAGTTTCGAAAGTGGAAGTGCCTAGCAGATTTGGTCACATGTCACAGTCCATGGAAGTTTGCAAAACACCCACAACAGTAATTGGGATGCTGTTGTCGGTAGATTGTTGCGTGTGCGGCAGCCTTGAGCCCTGTTTCGGAAGTGACGGTAGGCGTGGTGTAAGGTTTTCCGTACCGAAACTTGTCATGAACCGTGCTGTTCTCGCAAATCTAGATACACTGGGGCAGGACTGTTTCCGTTGTGCTCATTCCTCTATCGAATCATCCAATCCAAATGCCATGTATCCAACTTTTCCGGCGAACTGACAGGTGATGAGGGCTGCAAGAGGATATTTGCGGAAGCAGCGAATCTTCCCAGTGACTCGCGACGAGCAGGCGCTTGCTTCAATGCATCCTTGGCCAAGACTTGAGATCCTTGACTGGCTTTCGCGGAAAATGACATGCCATACAAAAAAACACAAACAGCTCTAGTTGTAGACATGACACAGGTCTTGACAAACAAATTTAGGCAAATGTTGAAGTCGGTGTTTGTTGTTGCCACGCCAGTGGGGAGAGCTGTTTTTGGAAGTCGTGTCTTTTCTTGTGATCACATTGGGGATTTGGGCAAGTATCAAAACACATGGAATTTAGGAGTTGGGGATTCTTGTACAGCTTATCAATGAGTGTCGCAAACGTCAGCCACCCTGACGGTGAATCCATTGTTTTCAATGATGACTCTGTTCAGCTTTCAATCCCCTCTCTTTCCAAACCTGGTTAGACGTTCACGTGTGGGTTTAATGGGAGCGAACCGCCAGGTGCGGGTGCTATCGGGCGAGGAAGAGGGAGCCTTCGGGTGGCTGGCGCTCAACCAGTTGCAGGCATCGCGCTCCGACCAACGGGATGTCGTTGGAAGCCCTGGGATGGTGAGCGGCTGTGGTTGTGTGGATGAAAAGAGACAGGAAGGGTTCAAAATGTTCAGCTTCAGACTATCAGATCGTCCAATTGGTCTGACTCGCTTCTTTGGAGTTTGTCCCTTCAGGCAGGGATCAGCCCAGATCCAGACACGACTTTGGGGGCGCTGGACTTTGGTGGGGCCTCTGCGCAGATTGCATTCGCCTACTCCTCAGCATGTGACAAGGGAAAGGGTCGAGCATTTTTTGTTTGAACTTACACCTGGCCCCCTTGAAGGAAACCAAAGGATGTCTAAGCGGTGGTGGTTGAAACATGCCTAAACAACAATTGTGTATATACCGCGTATTGAAAAAGCATTCTTCTTCCCGGCCTTGGCCCGGCCTTGGCGGCTCAATAACAGGGCCCTCTATGCAGAAACCTTTGGCAGCCATTTAACTTGGCCATGGGATGGGTACTCACGGAAGAGCATTGCATCATTTTGCTCAGCGCAGTAGAAGGCCATCTTCAGAGCTCACAAAGCTTGGAATCAGATGAGGTGCCGCAGGAGACGTCCATCCTGGCCAACCTCTTTCCCATGCACTTTGGCGGAAGCATTCGAGGCCCTATTCATCTCTACTCAAAGAGGCTGGGTGCAAACTTGGCATGGTGTGCTGTGGTGCACGCACATAGATCTATCCCCCAAAGAGACTAAAGGTCAGATGTTTGAACATGGAAGCACGCCAAGCCCCTCTCCAAGAGGAAAGTAGTCTTTCTACAGGGGTCTGTGCACTTCCATATTAGTGGGCGGAATGGTAAATCCTCATGTAGTCGACGTCCACCAAAGGGTCCGCATGTCCTCCATAATGACCCCTACGGAGCGCACTACCTGCACATGAAGGAGGGACGGAAGGAGGTAACTCCCCATAGTTTTCGGCCAGACATTGACGCGGATTCACCTTTGCCAGAGCTTGGCCAATCAAAGCCATGAGTTTCTTCCTGCGATAGGGAATGACCTTCCAGGCTTTGGGAGTGAACCGGAAGGGGATTCCCTCAAAGAAAACCATAGGGGATGGTTTGATCTCTAGACATTCCCTCTTTCCCTCTTTCCCTGCTGAGAACCAGCAAGTTTAGGCAGACTCCTGGCCAGCTTTCTTTCATTATGACTCAGACTCTCCAAAGCGCAGTGGGGAATCAGCTGTGGGTATGGCTCAAAATTAAAGAGCTGGGGGTACGCGGGTTTTTGTCTTTGATTCCATTTACCAAGGTGCCATGTTGGTACCACTTTTTGAGCCACAGCCCTGTCAGCTTCAACGGCTTTGGCAATGTGATCGCCTTCCAGAGAGCTACGCGCGTGCTGATGCCGGGATCCTGGAAAGCTGCTGTTGGGTCTGATTTCGCCGATGTCGACCGACGGTCGTTTCCTGTTGCCCAAGGATGAGTTGTTATGGGGATATGTAAAGAACACGGCTCGCTTCAATGAAAGCTAAACAAGGTCAGTTGTGGACAGGGATGCAATTTGAGGCCCTTGCAGGCCAACACCTGCGGGTTTGAGAAATGCTCAACGGTATTCTCCAAGTTGAGGAGCCAATTAAGATCGTCCAGCAGAGTCTACTGATAGACAGATTCTCCGTGAGGCTCAGGGGGAATTCATGGGTGACAATCTAGCTTATTTCCAACAATCATGAAAGTGACCTCTCCACCTCCATGATTGGAAAGAGGGTATTGATGGTCGACGCTACCTGGCCCGCCGTTCGCCACAGCGCAGGGCGGGTCTGAAGCACAGCGATCCTCAGGCAAGTGGGAGTCTTTGCAATGGTGTGCTGCCGTTTTGAAGGCTTCCGGGGGCTGTTGTCACAGGAAGACCAGCAGGAAACTGCCAATTTGGGGTCTCATTTGTTTTAAGTTCTCATTGCGCGGAGATGTGGCCATGGGTCAAAAGCCCCTATCCCCAGCGAACATCCCAATCCCCACTAAAATAGACTAAAGGGGTCAAAGGGGTATCCCAAAATGGTACCATTGGTTTTGACCCACAGCCATGCGTGCAGTCAAACACCTCCGGTTTGGTCTAGTTTGAAGGAAAACTGTGAAGCCTGCTATGGGCAGGGGTCCACTGCCCCAAGAAGCTTGACGATGCACACTCTTTGGACTCGGCAGCTTGGTCACAGCTGGGCGTTGGAACAAGTTCCCTCGATTGAGGCAAGCAATGAGCCAGCCGTCCTTTTTTTGTATGGACTGGCGCAGGAGGATGCGCAGCCATGCGTGGTTTCCCTTTTCCCTTTCTGGGCACCCACTCCTTGTTTTGCCTACCCCAAGGTAGACGTAAACTCGGAGGGCTCGCTTTGAGCATCATCAGCCCCCCCTGGTTTGCCTTAAAGGAATCTTGGCGCCCTGCAGGAAGTGAAGCATCCCTGCCTGCCAACGAACCTGACCTGGAAGGCGCGGTCGGTTTTTCTGGCCTTGGTGGTCCTTTTGCGCATTGCCCGAGGTTCGCATCGGCGAGTTCGGCGCGCCCTGGCGAGCGCAGAGTGGGGAACTCCCAAAACCAGCACCTTCGAACGTTCCGAACGGCGCACGCCGCAAGTTTTGGGGAGGTGCAGAAGATCCGGAAAATGTGGGTTCAGGGCCCCAAATCCCGGCGCTCTCCCCGCATTTGTGCCAGTTAGTTTCTCCCAGGTGCCAGAACGTTGGATTGAGCCCTTGCTTCAGCCCAGCGATTAATTACCAAGCAAAATGGGTTGACTGATCAGAGTGTCCACACCTTGTAAAAGAGGATGGAGGCAAAGGATGTGTGAGGTTGCTGGCGTTGCCTGCCGGTGTTCATTTTCACATGTCATTTTTCCTTGTCACGTTGAAAGCAAACACCGAGGTGAGCATCTCGAATACCAAGCCAGAGCGCACTGGCGGAACGCTGAAGCAGACGGCTCAGATACTAGATTTGTCACGGAAATGCACCTGTGGCAAACAGCCAATAGCCAATTTGTCCAGCGCCTTTTGTGCAACATGCTGGCAAAGCCACTCAACCATCGGAATGCGTCACGATGTGTAAACCATTCCCACAAACAAACATTTAGAGTTGACATAGATAGCAAAGCAGGCCACATGGCAACCCCTGGCAATGGAGACCTTGTTTTACCAAGCCCGAATCTCTTGTTCTTGTTGTTACCTGCATTTCAGCTTTGCATTTCAATTCGATTTCAGCCACGCCGCTCTTGGGATGTTTTTTTTTTGGGTTTTTTTTTGGGTTTTTTCACGCGCATGAATCCGACCATTGCCGCCCAGCGAAGTTTCAGGATGGTGGGGACGGGCGACTTCTATGCCTGCTATAAGTTGGCTGTCGCGCTCTTCGACAAGGACCGCTATCCTTTCTTTGTGCGCTTAGAGGCCAATGAGACAAGGGATTCTTGCCAAATAGGCGCTTTGTCCTCACTGGCGACGATGTAGGTAGACAGTGGGCATGTGGACACTCGTTTGTGTGTGTGTGTGTGAGAATGCACCTGCGCATAGGCGTTGGGAGCGTCTTGCTAACACAACAGCTCGGATCCACGTCCATAGAAGCTTTGCTGGCTGACGCCAAAGGTTAAGAACGGCCGACAAGAGAAAAGATGAATATGTGCCTCAGTGTTCCTCGTTTGTAAATTCCAAGCCTGCACACGGCATTCTGTCAGCCCCAGCCCATGCAATTTCAAGATCCAGCGCCCTGTCATGCTGTTGCAAGTAGCCACCAGTGAGGATGCTGTCCCGAGGACACGCCGTGCTTGTTGTCCCCCTGTTCCATCATGGGCGTCTACCAGCCAGACAAGAACGGGACTGCCCGTGCACAAGCGGAATGGAGCAGGAATGTTTTGTGTGCTGAAGGTATGTCCGCGCAAAACTGCTGGGAGGAGAGTGCCCCCCTATCAACGGTTTATGAGCTCATTGTGTGGAGCAAGAGGAGAACTGCAGTTGATCAGCTGAGTGTCCAGATCAAAATGAGAAGCATTCACGACATGTTCTTTCTTGACAATCCCCATCATGTGGTGCGATGTTTTCCAAGCGAACCACATCGATTGACCAGGGTCAGAAGAGTCACTAACTGCCTCATTCCTTGCCTAAAAGCAGCAATGGGTGTATGCGTACTTCTTTCACATTTGCAGCAGGTTCGAAACACATGGCATACAAGCTCGAAACGCCATGGTACCCCCACAATGAACGACAACAGAACGAAGTAATGCTGCAAGCAACTATGCAGAATGAGATGGAGAGCACTTCGCACAACTCTGTTTTTGAGCTGGCGTTGTGAATGTGTTCGTAGCGTACTACACACCTGTACTTAAAGGTGCGATTTGCTTGAAAGTGCAGACGGCAAAGCACAGCAAAACAAGATGGCTCGATTTTTTGGAAGAGTCCAAAACAAGATCAAACCAATCTTGGTATTTTGTCACAGAAGCTTAGCGTCCGGTTTCGCTTGACAGCCCGGCAAGTTGAGGGCCTAGCTTCTTGTAGGAGGTTATGACCAGGCCTAGAATCCGTTGACTTTGTGTTCTGCCGACATGGCCACAAAGGTTTGGACGGGCATCTCGATGGTGTCATTCCACTGCACTTTCATTTGAAGCTGGCTACTGCAACAGAAGAGATAAATGTGGCCGTGGGTCAACACCAATGGGATCCCATTTTGGGGGTAGGTGAATTCACCACTCATTTTAGAACCTATTTTAGTGGTTGGATTGGGATGTTCACTGGGGGCTAACCGGGGTTTTGACCCATGGCCATGTGAGCTTGATGATAGCAGGAGCAACTTCGTACTTTTTGGTGCGCAGCATCGCTTTCAGCAATGGGAGGCGATCGGAGTGTCGGGATTGAGTTCCCAATCTGCTCAACCATCGTTCCTTTCAATCACTAGCCGTTTTCCTTCATTTTTCGGTTTGGAGGGAGTTTGTTCAATCATCGTTCCTTTCAATCACCAGCCCTTTTCCTTCATTTTTCGGTTTGGACTAAGAAGGATGCCTGGAGCAGTCACCACTGGAGTTGTGTCAAGCGCTAGGTTCACGATTGCTTGCAGGTACTTCCTCTCATGCAGCAGGCCCGCTTGTTGCTTGTTGGCATCGCACCGAAGCGTTGACCACCCCAAGGTAGACTGATTAGGGCCAGGCGCTTTGGCACTTTGGCTTGTCCCCAAACCAACAAACTGGGAAGCCCCAAATGAGCAGTTTCCCTATCAAAGAACCTCAAGCAAGGCGCCGAGCCTCAAATAAGGACACTTTATTGGCCATAAAGGTGGTCTCGGCTGGGTTGTTCAAAATGAATCCTCAATCCATTTGGTAGATGGTTTTGCCTTCTTCATTGTTCTAGTGGTGTGCAAGATTACGCCTTAAGATTGGTGGTCTCATTTTGCACACCCCCAGCAAGCCCCGAGTCCTGGTAGACCACTCACTTCCTCAGTTCCTGGACAAATATATCCGTTGGAGACGACCATGTGGCAAAAATGTTGGGACTTGGCCCATAACAGCGCGACGGTTTCGCCCGAGGGCGTGCCGCTGTTACAAGCGCTGAAGATCCAGCTGCCCCGGCTTTGCTCTTTGCCGGTGGAGACGCAGGTGAGCCGCCGTGAGCTGGTGAGGTCCTTGTGCGTCAAAACGGGGAACCTTCAAATTAGGTGGTTTCGCGTGGGTTTCCCTTCCAACAGCGCTGTCCCTTGGAAAAGAATACATCACAATTCATTTTTGTTGATTCAAACGTCACCGTTTCGGAAGGCCAATTTGAACACGAGGTTCCTTTCTCTGAGCGACGCTTAACAAGGACATGACTACAAGGAACTCTGTATGCTGCTTACCTCGGCCAAGCAGCAAGATGCGCTCCTTGACAAAACGAGTCGCCAAAGGCAGTCCCTTTGCACCAGAAGTCTGGCATCAGCCCAGACTTGATTCGAGAAGCATGCCATCCATGGCGCTTGATGCCCGTGCAAACCATGACGTGTCGCGATAAATCGTTGTGTGTTTTCAAGCTGGCTGAGGGCTTTGCCTAGATGTCGGCAAGCCATGTAGGAGGTGTCTTCATTCTTGGTTAGTGAAGGTAAGTGCCACGTCCTCTTGCTTGTGCGGCACACCGATCGCTTGCTTGTTCATCGTCGGAAAATATGTTCAGCAGCAGGTTGAGCAGGAGCAATGGATGCCTTGCGTATGAGTTTCTGGCTGTGTACCTCCTCAAACTGCCCGGGCCTTGTGCTGAGACACCTTAAATTGCCCTTCTCTTGGTTGGACAAAGAGAGCTTGAGCTTCAGTTGCAGGTGACCGGTGTTTACACATCTTCCGGTAGCCTTAGGCAATGCCAGTCATCCCGCCCCCCCTCCCCAGTCATAGCCACTTCCCGGCTAGCCTTATGGCAGGTAGAGCTGTTTAGCGATCCTGCCATGAGGACGGGAGAGCGGAATCGGGTGCTTGAAGCAACAGCATGGCTGTGAGGGGGGTCGCCCCTTTGGGTCTATCCCGGGCAAGGGAAGCGACCCTGGAAGGAACAAAGGAAGGAAGGAAGGAAAGAAGAAATCAATTCATCAAGGAAGAGCACGCAAATTTAACCCACTGATATTCTTACCACTCTCGTCAGGCAAACACACCATTCAACTTATTGGTATGGGGGGTGCCCGACGATGGCAATCCTTCCTCACTTGCTGAATGCTTCACCAACAGGCAAGCAGTATGCCTACAGCCGCGGTCAAAAGACCTTATTCACTTGTGCTTAGGGCTGGAGGTGGATTCGGGAGATGAGACCAGGGAAGCATGACCGTGGCCCATAGTTTTGAAGTTTTGACCATGGCGCAGTTGACAATTCGACATGCTTTGGAGCAACGTTGCTGGGGTCATTATTTTGACGGTTTCTGGGAGTTATATGGAGTTATCAAAGTCAGAAAATGGGGTTGTTTCCCTTTAACCAACCACTGAACGGGGGTGACTTTGTTAAAAATCATGAGGCCAGACCGTTGGCCTCGCCTTCGGCCGGTGACTCTGAGTCGCCTCATAGGCACGGCCCAGACTGCTGGGTGGCCACCTGGATCTATGCCATGCTGCGGGCCGGCCCGGCCTGTTCAGTGCCGCCGTGGTGGTTCTGACTGTGGCGGGAAATCAAAAAGACCTCAGTTTCAAGGGGACATCGAAAGAAAACCAGCCTAGAGTTTTGGACGCCACTTGGAGACAACCCCAACAGACTACAGAGTTGAGTGCTCTCGCAGGGGAGATGACGCTTCACACTTCGGCCACTTTCTATGAACTGGCGCCCCTCACGACTGCCTGCGGTTTTTTGAAACGACTTTAAATGCCATTGGCAGGCCTTCAGTCACACCCCAAAAAGGGTTCCTTTTACGTTTGCCTTCAAAGCCACCAGCAGAGGGCTCTTTTCCATTCCAGAGACGCACCAATTTCAGGATGGCTTGGGCTTTACAGCTCATGGTCCTCAGATAGATGTGGTGTCGGGGGCCCAAATCGATTGCGCGGGTTGGCAACTCGAGATGGCCATGGTTCAAAACCAATGGTACCATTTTGGGATAGGTGCACCACCCATTTTAGTCTATCTTAGTGGGGATTGGGATGTTCACTTGGGGGTACCTGGTTGTGACTCATGGCCAGGTCAGAAGAAGCCAAGTCGGTTTATGGCAAGGGGGGCAAAACATGCTTTAACCATCAGACTCTGCAGCTTTAGGGGAGCCACAAGGAGATTGCTTAGGCAACGGGGATTTTGAAATCTGTTTTAGCAAGGGTCAGCCCAACCCTGAAGGCAAGGCTGCTGTGACCACACGCTCGGCCATGCCACCTACGAGGCGGGGGGGAAGGCGTCACGCCGGCGGAGAAACTGTGCAATGTGTGAAATGGAGTACAGGCCTCCCGCCCTTGAATCATGTGCAGTCTTGAGGTTTCATGACCAGAGCCACATGGCTCCGAGCGGGAGCCCCCGCATGCGTAGCAAAATAGGCCGCTGGCGAGCATTTGTTCGTCAGTGGTAGCGGAGCCCTCGGCGGTGATCCGGGGGGCGCGCCATGGCCGAAGGGTCGGAGAAGGCGGAGAACAAGGGCTTCTCGAAGGAGGCTCCTCCGCCTAGTTGGGATGGTGGGTCGCCTCACCAGGAGTTTGAGCGCTTCGAGCGCGACGTGAAGTTGTGGGAGTTTGAGACGGAGGTGGAGCTGAAGAAGAGAGGTGCCAGACTCTTGAGGGGTCTGTCAGGCCCAGCGCGGGCAGTCGCCGATGCGCTGGAATTCGACAAGATTGCATGTGAAGAAGGGCTGGACAACATCATGAAGGCCTTGAGGGAGCACTACAAGCCCCACTTGGAGGTGAGTCTGGCGAGGGCCTTGGAGCAGGCCATCTACGGGCAGGCGCGGCAGAGCAAGGAGGACTTTCAGGAGTACCTCATCCGGATGGAGAAGGAGTTTGCGCGTCTTAGCAAGGAAGGTGTCAGGCTGCCAAGTCAGGCACAGGGCTACATCTACTACCGGCAGGCCTCGCTGACCGAGAACCAGGAAATGAAGCTCACCACATGGACCAATAATAGTTTCGAGTTGGGCCAAGTGGTCGGGGCGCTCAGGAAGCTCGACAAGGTGATAAAGGATGACAAGGGCAAGGCGAGGCTGTATAACGAGACTTTTGCCGAGTTCGAGGCGCCTGAGGAGCACGTGGGTGGTTTGGAGAACGAGGAGTACAGCCAGAGCGACGAGGAGTATGTGTACCTTGAAGAAGGAGCACTTCAGAACGTGTATGAAGAAGACGAAGTGAACATGGCTCTCACAACGTATAAGGAGGTGCGGGAGGCGATCAACGCCCAACAGAAGGGGCGGCAGTACTACAAGCCAGTCTTTGGCAAAGGGCGCGGGGGCTCCTCAAAAGGAAAAGGCAAGGGCAAAGGACTCCAGCGCGTCCACATCGAGCAGATCAAATTGCGGACCCGCTGTGCAAGGTGCGGCAACATAGGCCACTGGGCTCGGGAGTGCCGGGCGGCCCCAGACAAGCGCGGCTTGGAGAACCAGGCCAAGATGCAGGCTGGAGGAGGCCCACCTTCGAGTACGGGAACTGCAAACACAGGATCTAGCCGGAGCTGGTTTTGTGCAGTTGGAGACGAACATGATGCGGGAGGACAGCCGGGGTCTGTGGTTTTCAGTAGTTGTTTGATGGCCGGGGGAACGGTCAACGAATTTTTCGGTGGGACATCGCAGGCCGAAGCAGCGCAAATGCGGAGGCCGGTGAGTGAACGCAAGCCTGAGGTTGAATTTCCATGTGCGGTTGAGACGGGGAACTCATCGTGTGCGATGAGACAACATGGACAATCAGATGGGGACGATTGTTTTTGCGGGATTACAACTCAACCAGCACAGGGAGTGGTAGACACTGCTGCACAGGATGGTCTTTGGGCGAAAGAGCTTTGGCCAGCTTGCAGTGTGCATTGGACAAGCATGGACTTCGATGCGTGTGGACCGGCAAACAGGGACGTGCCCAGGGTGTTGGAGGCAGAGCTCATACTTTGGGGATTGTGGCAATACCTCTGGGATTAGCTGGTACAACGGGGATTCTTGAAGCCACCGTCGTGAAGGAGTCGGTTCCACTTCTTTTGCCGATCAAGCTGCTTCGTCAAATTGGGGCAACCATCAATCTCGTGACCATGACTCTTGAACTGCAAATCAATGGGCGAACCCTGGAACTCCATGAACTTCCAAGCGGACATGTGACAATCGATGTGCTTGATTTTGGTCCAGGAGGTTTCAAGGTTCCAGACACAGCAGCGGGCTACCGGGATTCAGATTTTCAGATGGCGAGTCCCGGAGTATTTCTGGGCACAAGCCTCATGCCCGGAAAGCGACCCAATTCGATTCCTCCCGAGAGCAATGCCGTTGACTTTGGTGGGCAAGATCAAGGAATCGAGGCTCACTCCGGCGGCAAGGCAGAACGTCTCCGAGCAGAAGGACGTTCACTATCACAACCCACGTCGAGCTCTACGGGGATGGAGAGTGATGATGGACCGCTACATCGACCTGGTGCAATATGTGGGACTTCACGAATGGGTGTCCGGATGGCTCTCAATTGGGCCTTTGCAAGAAGTGGAAGGATACCGGAAATCAGTTGGGACAAGCTTGTGCGATGTCTACGGACAGCTCATCGAGTCGGCGGAGAAGCTCACCCCGCTGAGGACCAAGGAGATGCCGAAGAAGAGGGAGAGCGACTGCACGCATCCAAGTCACCATCTGAAGGGCGGTGGCAACAAGCACATGAGCTACGTGGTGTGCAGTCTGTGCAATGCCAGGTGGCGGACGGAGATGTCATCTGCAGAGATCAAGGCGAAGCTCAAGGAGGACAAGGTGCCGGTCTTCGTGAAGAACCCGAGTCAGGACCAGCCCGTGGGCCAGGAGATAAAATCCAAGGGTGTGGGAAAGCTCGAGGACCACCCGGAGATCATGGATTACAAGGAGGAGGTCCGCCGGCTGAGCAGGAAGATGGAGAGAATGACGCAAGTGGTACGAGCGGTGGAGGAGATGCAACGCTCCCAGACCATGGAGGACTACGAAATGGAGAAGGTCGACGAGTTGGGGACGATGAACGAGAGCAGCCCATGGAAGCTGATTCCGAGCTTCGACCAGAAGGATCTACCTCAGAATCAACAAGCACAAGTGAGTCAAGAAGCAGCACCAGCGAGGAAGATGACGGTACGGAAGTTGTCAAAGAGCCCAAGCCGGAGTCGATGAAGCAATGGTGCAGAGTGGCTACTCGGGAACAGGCAGAAGGAATCATGGACATGGAGAACGGCTGGTTCACGGTGAAGAACTTGGCGGAGAAGAACGACGGCGTCTACCTGGAGGTGGTGCCCACTCGACGATACATGCTGGAGGAGATGGTGGAGAGTCCAGACGAGGTGTCACTCAACAGGCACGTGAGAAAGCGGCTGCGAAAGAGCATGAACCAGGTGACCGAGGCGCTTGCGGTGGACGTGGCGGAGGTTTATTCACCACCGCGTGTGACAACTGCGGCAAAGAGGCTTGGGTTGTCAACTGGAGTCGCGGTCGACAAGATCACGGGCTATGACCTGGCGTGTGAGGAGGATCGGAAGAAGATGTGGAGAAAGTTGAGAGAGGATGATCCTCTTCTGATAGTGCTCAGCCCTCCATGCACTGCCTTTTGCCAACTTCAGAACCTCAACTACGGCAAGATGACCTGGGAGCAAGCAGTGACTATGATCTGCACGGGCATTGAACACATGGAGATCGCAGCGGCGGTGGCTAAATGGCAGATGAGGCGAGGGAGACTCTTCGCACTGGAGAATCCGGCGGGTTCTCTTGCATGGGACGAGAAGTGCATCTTGGAGCTGATGGGCTTTGAGGGAGTCGAGACGATAAAGAACGACATGTGCGCCTTCAAAATGTGTGTGCACGGGAACGAGCAGGAAGGGTACAACCAGAAGCCCACAAAGTGGATCACCAACTGCCCCGAGATCGCTCAGCTCCTGGATCGAAGGTGTGACCACTCACATGCGCATGTGCCCTTGCTGTCGGGAAAGGCAGCCAAGGCAGCAATATATCCGGAGGAGTTGTGTGTCGCGATCGCCCAAGGATTGAAGAACTACATCAAGCGCAAGAAGGTAGTTAGATTCGCTGGGAGCTACCACGAGGAGGAGGACACCGAGAAGTACACCTTTGCGGAGGAAGATGTGGGAGATCTGGAAGAAGATCTACGCCAAGAAGAGCGAGTACGTGGGCCTGGACCGAGAATTCCGACCATGGTGACCAAGGAGGAGAAGGGCAAGATCATGAAGATGCATCAGAACCTCGGTCATCCGAATACGTTGGCTTTCGTCAGGATGCTGCGCGCAGGGCGTGTGAGAGAAGAGATTATTAAGTGGGTGCAGGAAGAGTTCCGATGTCCGGAATGTGAAGCGCATCCACTTCCCAAAGCGCCAAGGCCAGCGGTGGTGCCGAAGACCTATCGACCAGGAGTGGCACTGGGGATCGACCTGGTGTTCATCCCAAGTGTGAGTTCGGCCCCTGGATTGGCACCACTACTTCCTGCACTCAACATGGTGGATCTGGGTACCAACTACCAGATGATCGAAGTGGTGGAGAACAAGGAACCGCAGACGGTGTTCAGAGCATTGTGGAGAACGTGGTTCCGGACTTTCGGCGCACCTGAGTATCTCACGGTGGATGAGGGCACGGAGTTCAAAGCAGAGTTTAGCAAGCTATGTGCTGACGCTGGGATAGTGGTCTTCAAGACGGCAAGCAAGGCTCCGTGGATGCAGGGACGAGTCGAACGGCATGGAGGTCTCTACAAGACGATGTTGGCTCACGCGAGGGAATCAATGCCACCGGGAAGTCATGCGGAGCTTCTGAGGCTAATGCAGGAGATCGAGGCGGCGAAGAACAGGTTCAGCAATAGATCTGGCTTCAGCCCTACGCAGAGGCAAGTTGGACAATGGCCTAGAGTTCCTTCATCTATGATGAGCGACGAAGCTATCGATCCCACCCTGCAGTCGCAGAACAACTCCGACGATTACATCAAGATGCTTCAGATGAGGGAGGTGGCGCAGGAAGCGTTCGTCAAGGCGAACTCGCGCGATGCTGCAAGGCGGGCTATGAGGGCTAGGCCACGGACTCAGAGAAGTTGGAAGCCTGGAGATCTTGTGTATGTGTATCGGATCTTGAGAGAAAGGCGAAGGGTTGACGGCGGAGGTGGCCGCATTACCCGCAAGGCAGTGTGGACCGGGCCAGGCACCGTGTTGAGCATGGAAGGCGCGGTGGTTTGGATCAACATGATGGGGGAGCTGTGGCGCACTGCTCAGGAACAGGTCCGGGACGCGACGCAAGAGGAACGGCTTGGAGCAGAGGTAGTGGCAGAGTCATTTCAGGAGATGCAAGAGCGACTGAAGCGGAATCCTCATCGTCCTGGATACCGCGATGTGACACGCGATGCGGCGGAAGAGGAGCACTGGGAGGCAGAAGCTCGAGCACAAGCAGGTTTACCTGGGGAAGTAGATGAAGAGCTCGAGGTGGCGGACGCTGGAGATGATCCTGTAGATCATGAAGGGCAAGAACGTGGACAACCCCGACGGCGACTTGAAGAAGATGTTCAGCCAGAGCTTCCACCAGTCCCGGAGGACATGGAAGACGAGGAGAATGCGCAGAGTGAGGAATCCAAGTCGCAGCCAGAGCCGGAGTCAGAGGAAGCCGAAACCGGGCGCGACTGGAGAAGGAAGCATTGGAGATGAATGATACGATGGATGGGATACCGTCTAGCGGAAGCAGTGGACCCCATCGATCCGAACGAGGCGCAAGGTGGAGAACGCATTTGGCAGCTCCATACTTCAATGAGGTGTTCTTCGGCCTGGAGGAGGAGATCCAGTCGGAGAGTATCGAGCCCGGGGAAGACTACTGGGTGTACATCACGTGCGAGAAAGGAAGGCCAGATTTAAGCCAACAGATGTGAAGCAGTGTCCGATTCCTCTTCGATCAATACTCAAGGAGAGGAAATCCTTCATGAAGTTCATTGATGGAACCGAGCGTGTGGAGGAGGACCAATGGAGCTGGTTGGACGACAAGCGGCCTACGCGAAATTGGTGGAAAGGGTACACCGAGTTCAAGGTGGACCAGGAGCAGGTGGCGGTGAATCAGACCTTTACTACTGCAGGAAAAAGACGTGGAGATGGAGAAATCTACGACCACGAGATCCTGGAGGGCGAGAAAGCCGAGTGGAATTGCGCGGACAAGGAGGAGTGGCAGAAGATTGTGGAGAGCGGCGCGGTCAAGGTCCTCTCTGTGACGGAGTCGCGGAAGGTGACGAAGGAGTTGGAGGCTCGGGGAGAACTTGGACGCATACTACCGACGAGAATGGTGAGGCGCTACAAGCCTTCGGAAGAGGTTGGAGTGCCTGCTTCAAGAAAGAGCCGATGGTGTGTGCGAGGAGATAAAGATCCGGACATCCTGGAGTTGCAGCGGTTTGCGCCGACGGTGGCAACTTCGTCTTTGCAGGTGGCAATGCAGGCGGCGGTCAATCACGATTTGGAGTTCAAGATCGGGGATCTCAAGAGTGCCTTCACGCAGTCAATGCCTTTGATTCGAAGGCGTGGTAAGCTGTACTGCAGGCAGTGTCGAGGAGGGCACAACGACCTGGAGGAGGGACAGCTGGTGGAGATTGTCCTCGGATGCTATGGATTGCCGGATGCCCCTTTGCACTGGCGGCGGACTTTGAGACGGTACCTCATCGGCACCCTGGGATATAAACCTTCAAGGATGGATCCGTGTATGTTTCTGCTTCATGTACAAGGTCTTCTCAAGGGGATCGTCCTGGTGGAGGTCGACGACCTGTTGCTCATGGGCAAAGATGAGCATCATGAGCGGGTGAAGAAGTTGCAGGAGCGATTCAAGTTTGGGAAGCTCAAGGACGTGGATGAGAAGGGCGTGGGCTTCAATGGTAGGAGAATCAGAATTGAGCATGGAGTGGTGAAGATCGACATGGAGAAGTTTGTGCGGGAGAGACTGGGCGAGATGAATATCGAGAAGGAGCGGAAGAAGCATCCTGGAGCTCTACTACAGGTGGAGGAAACGGCAGCGGCTAGGAGTGTGTGTGGTGCTTTGAATTGGATTGGAAAGGAGGGGCGTCCCGATGCTGCGGCAGCAGCATCTCTCTTTTCATCCAAGCTCAAGAAGATGACCATTGCCGATGTCATCGATATGAACAAGGCCGTGCGCAAGATCAAGGACAACCCCACTTTGTCGTTGCAGATTCAGAAGCTGGAGGACATGCGGTGGGGTGTGGTGACGGATGCTAGCTGGGCCAATACCACGGAGAACCGTTCGCAAGGTGGTCACGTGGTGATTACCTTCAACAAGGAGCTGATGAGTGGGGTGCGGGCCAAGACGAACATTCTAATGTGGAAGAGTGGCAAGCTGCCTCGAGTTGTTGGGTCTACGCTGGCCGCGGAGACTCAGTCATTGGCTCGTGGCGTGGGGGAGCTCATCTGGGCCAAGGTGGTGTACTTGGAGATTGTGGATCCCACATTCGAGCTGAGGGACTGGCAGAATCAGGTACGCGAGGAAGGATATCTTGCCCTTGCTCGTGAAGACAGTGCGGAACAGCTGAAGGAGGCATTGGCGGTGGTGGATGCCAAGTCGCTGTTCGACTTGATCAGCCGGGACTCTCATGGAGGCCAGGATCGCCGAACGGCGATCGACATCCAGTTGATCAAGGAGGAGCTGCGGGCATTGCACGGAAGTGTGCGCTGGGTGGAACACTTGGACATGCTGGCAGACAGCCTCACCAAGCGCGACGGGTCCACGGAGAGCTTGACGAAGGTCTTGGAGTCGGGGGAGTACGGCATCGAGGCTGAGAGCAGCGTTTTGGCCAGGAGGGCCGATTCAAGGGCGAAGAAATTTTGAGGCGCTGTGAAATGGAGTACAGGCCTCCCGCCCTTGAATCATGTGCAGTCTTGAGGATTTCATGACCAGAGCCACATGGCTCCGAGCGGGAGCCCCCGCATGCGTAGCAAAATAGGCCGCTGGCGAGCATTTGTTCGTCAAATGATTGCTTGCGGTTTGACCTTGTGTATTGGCGGCAATGGGAACTATGGACACAACTAGCATCATTGAAGATGCATCTTCTTAGGTCGTTGGCTCATGTTTGTGCAGTGTTTGGCAGCCGCTTTGCCCGTGGACCGCGCTGGGACTGAACTGTCACATCTTGTGGCTTCGCCAGGTCAACTTCTTCCCCTACAGTGTCAGCATTTGACTTAGTTCTTGTTGGATCCATTGGTAGATGATATTGGCAATTTGATGATTATTGCATAAACCCCGCACGGAAGCGTCGGAACATAGTATGCTTGTGCTCCCATCTGAGATGATCAACATGCAAGCTTTGGATATGAATGATATTGCAGATCCCTTCCGGAAGAGCAGCAATGGTGCGATTTTAAAACATGTTGCCATAGGATGCACGCAAGCATATTTCCACTCTTCTTGTCCACACCATTGCATCTTTCCAGGTCCCCAGGTTCGCAATGCTAGGAATACCACATCCAGTGTTGCTCCGAGAACGACGCAGAGCCGCACCTCACATGGGATATGTTGGGTGTCAGACGCTCATTTCCATGTATAGGCTTGGCTTCCTTTGAGGGAAGGCTGGCAGCTCTGGCCTTTGCAGAAAGGGCTCAGAGCAATAGGATTCTGCAGCTATGGCGGCCTATTCCCCTGCGGTGCAGGCTCGTGCATGAGTGAGGTCTATGGGGTGCATCGGCGTATCAAAGGAGGTAAGCCTTTGCAGTCAGAGGAGCAACAAGATGTCGTTGAGTCATTGAGAGGATCGCAAGTGGCTGCAGCAGCTACTTGAGGAGAAACTGGCAATGGGCAATACCATTTTACTTTGCTTTTGACACTGAACCGTTTTGAAGCAGATGAATCACGTAACATGTCAAAGTCCAGACAAGCCCAAAGTTCCCGTTGCACAATCACTCAGTTGGGGCAGGCATTAGTACCTCCCCCTCAAAGTTCGCAGATCTTTTCTAATCAGCCTGTCCAAACTCCTACTTTTACGCTCCTGCTTATGCGGTGTGAGATGTACGCATGACACAGGATCTGAGGCCCGAAAGAACCATTGACCATGATGCAAGCAAACCTTGGTAGACACTCTTTGCGTCGTTTGGTTCTGGCTAGTTAATTGGCTATCCTGACATTGGGAGCATGCTCATTCGGTGTCAGCTCTGTTTCGCCGATTCTGTTTGATAAGCTTCAAGATTCTGGTTGGTTGCCAGTCCTCTTGCAGCAATGTGGACAGTGGGTAAGAGCCATCCTGATTCCTTGATGTATGTTTCCATTTTTTCCTGTCTCCGAACTTGAGACATGCTGGTCTTTGTAGAGAATCGGGTGTAGCGAAATCCCACAACACAGTTGGCTGTGGGTCAAAAAGAAGGTACCCAACATATCCAAAATGGGTTACCCTGGCTAAATGGAGCCAAGGACTAGCACTTGTCCATGTTTTGGTGGTTTAATTTTGACCCATACCCACTTGACCTAAGAAACATTCTGGGTCCCAGTGATCCTGCGCTGAGTCTGTTGCCGCCCCGGGGGAAGGGGCAAAAGGACATGAATCTGATTCTGTTTTTTTTTTCTTTGGCCCCCCCCTGCTGCTCTCCTTCCACATTTGGACTCTAAATGTAACGCATAATTTACTCTTCTTGCCTGAATCCCCAATGTGAATTCTTGGGAGAAGCGCTGTGGAGGCCATGGATGCTGGTTTTTGAAACTAGATGTCTGCAACACACACATCACAACTTGTAACAGCGCAGGCCCCCACAACGTCCCCCGTATAAGAAGGGGCCCGTTTCTTCGAAAGCGCGAGATGGAGCTTCTGGACTTGGAGAGCTTCGTGCCGAGCTCCGAGGATGAGCAAACGGAGCGGAGGTGGCCGGTGAGAAGGCGACGGGGTCGGGTCCAAAAAGATGGCCATGGCACAACACGGTACGAAGCACCTTGGCAAATGGAACCAAAGACGAAAACCTGCGGTTTGTTTTGGCTCTCCGAAAATTTGGGGCCACAGATGCTTCCGCCAAAAAAGAGGTGTCCTTTCTTGGAGAACAGCGCTACACCCACAAGGTGGTTGGCGGACGTGAAGCTCAAATGACGTGCGCTGGAGTATCCGAATTCAACCACATACCCAGCAAATACAATTTGGCAGCCACAAAGCCATGTGTGCATTGGGTCGCAGGTCCGGACAAGGCCGCAGGGGGGAACCAATAGAATTTGCATTTGGGCTGCGCGTCATGTAAGCATGTGAAGAAAGCCATCGGTCGATGTCAAAAAGAGCAAGGAGCCCAACTTGAAACCGAAAAGATGAGAGACCTCCAAGTTTGAGACGCGAGCGCCGCCCCCCAGTCTCATTTGCGGCACTATGGCACTGGCTATGGCGGCAGTTCTGCTGGTCCACGGATCACCCGCGCGGTTAGGTGCGGTGTCTCGACTGAACTGGCTACAGAGTCAACCAAATACCCACCAAGTGGCGAAGTTGCTGAAGGATTTCCTGCTGGTTTCTTGGATGGGGGAACCTGGCAGAGGCAGTTGAACCTGGGATGCGTGACTCGCTGGTTGCAAGTTGGTTTTTAGCGCAGATCGCCGAGCAGGTGTCCCGCCCAAAGAGGCAGGCGCATTGAGGCATGGCATGGGCAGGACTTGTAGGTCAGCCACTTTTCTCGGGGGAAGTCAAAAGTTGATATCTCAAAACGAGTTCCCTTAAATAAAACCCGGAAAATGGGGGGCGGGGGGGGGGGGGGGAAGCGGGTAGCGCTTGAAAGTGCAAAGATTTTTATTTTTCCCCTGGAGCGCCTCAGGACTTGGAAGCTGTCCAGCTGGAGACTGGGCTTTACCCCGACCACTGGGAGTCGGTGGAGGTGCGCGGGGCAAATCCGAGATCTGTGAGACGAGGTCAATTGCCAGTGTTTGCCTTTTGCAGGTGTATCTTTGGGGCAACTTGCTTGTACAGAACTGGGAAGTCGCATGGCATGTTCTGTTTGCCGACAGACGCTACTTCGAATGACAGACTCTTTCGACAGACAGCCTGAGGCTCCAGCCAGTGGCCAGAGGTCCCTCGAAGAATCGGAGTGCCCTGGATGAAGGGAATCCCCACCCAACAGGAAGCGTGATACGGAGACAGCTAATTAATGCTGCTTTTGCTTAGGGAGCCATTCTTGCTTCCATTTTGGTTCGACTGAATTTCTTCGCTACGCGTGAGCCAGCAGCACGCGTGAGGCGCCGCGCGCAGGCGGATTGACCTTTGGCGCCTGTGGTTAGTCCAGCTTAGCCTACTCAAGCAAAGTTCTTCGTTGGAGATCACTCGAAACAATATTGTTTGTTTTGGGGACCCTTTAGTAGTGGAGGGCCACGCCCCGCAAATAAATTGCTTCATACATACCCCCCACCCTACACTTTTTTTCATCTTCCATCTTCTACCCTTATTTGTTTTCATCATTTTTCTACATTCCTTTCTGTCCATCTCATCCGTTTTTTTATCATCATTTTTCCAAAATTTTCGCCATCCTTTTCTCCTTTCTCCTCGCCTCATTCATTTCATCATATACCTCTCAAAATGTCATTTCCTCAATCTCCTCACCTCATCCATTTCAAAAAAATAAATTTTGCAAAATATATTGCAAAAAATATTTGTCATCAAAAAAATATTCGAACTGTCTAAAAACGATTTGTCCATTTCCCGGACAAAAAATAGAACAGCAACAACATCACTCCCTCCTTCGTTTCATCAGTTTCATCATATATTTTTTTGGGGCGTGGTCGCATAGCTTGCGAGCTTCGCTATCGCTCGCATCCTCCTTGTAGGATTTTATCTTCAATATATAAAACGCTATACTTACATTATAATTATAACATATAAGGGTATAAGTGCTATTATTATAGTATGACTAAATCGTTCTAGAAAAAATGAAATTGGGACTGGAGTCCCCGAAAATTGGGACTGGAGTCCCCGAATCCCATGCATTTTGGGTCAGAGTCCCACGCATTTTGGGTCAGAGTCCCACGCATTTTGGGTCAGAGTCCCACGCATTTTGGGACTGGAGTCCCCGAATTTATGACATTCCAACCAAACTCAAAATCCTTAATCCGTCAAACTCACTAAGATTTCACAAATTAATTCGCTAGGTATTTTGTATAAATCTTCCTGTTTATGTATTATTGGATTGTCACCCCATTGTTCCTTGTTTCCACTTGGCAAACGTTGCGCAGTTTCAATATGTTTATTATTCCTGATGTTACCACAATCCTTTTTACATAATTCTCTAGGTTTCCAAGTTGTAATGTTATTCCATAGCCTAGTCCTCTTTCTATAATTAAATCCATATTTACAATAATCAACATCTTTAAAATCAAACTCATCCATAAACTCCTGATGTTTTAATAATCCAGTTTGTGGATTTTCGATTACAAAATATTTAGGATTGAAATATTTGATAATCTCAATAGTTTTTAAGACAATACTATTTGCATATTCGATATTCCTAATTCCCCTAGTTTTTGCTATGCTGTATTCAGTGCATGGGGGACTACTCCAAATAAAATCAAAATGGTTTCTGTCAAACTGTTTGTAATCCCACTCCAAAATATCAGTGTTGATATCAGCATTTTTCAAGTCTAATGATATTACATTAAATCCAAGCGACTTTGCTATGGTTCCGACGCTTTTTGTTCCGCTAAATAATTCTAATAAATTCATTTATTAGAATTATTTAGATATTAATTATTCAAATAATACATATACTTCATCATCATTTTTTGTAATTTTATAAAACTCTAATGTTTGTTGCTTTGGTTGTTTGATTTTTCCTGTATTCAACATATCACAGTATTTCTTTTGCTTTGTCGGGTAGTCGCCCGATGGTCTTCCTATAGATTTTGCTTGAAATATCTTTTCGATTTTTTCTTTATCTTCATTGCGTTCAACTGGTTTCATTTTGTCATCAATGGATTTAATCATATCATTTAAGGTTTTAATATTTTTACCAATTAATGTTATCTTCTTCATTAAATCATTAATAGTGTAATTCTCATTTTCAGACATTACTATATATTTATTTAGATAATTATTTATTTAATTATATATTTATAAAGTGCAATTATGTTAAATCTACTCTTTAAATACTAACTTATGTCCCTGTTAAAACTAACATTAATCAAATGTTCGTTAGTTTCAATAACCATATCGCCATCTGTTCTTTTCTGA